ATCACCATCATCATCACTGATATTTGTTTTTTATTTTTATTCTTACCCTGCCCAATTCTATCATCTGACGCTTTTGTGTTTGGTAATAAGAACAAAGTGTGCAGCATTTTGGGTTTTGAAATTACCTGTTTTTCCTAGAGTAATCACACAGGAGAAAGTTTTATAAATAAATAAATAAATAAATATGTTAATTAGTTACTAAATACATGTATGTTACTTCACTCTTAGAACGCTTTTTCGGTAAGTCACATATTATCTTAGAGCCCCAACTGGAGATAGTTACAAAAACTGGTTAGTAGTTACTTGTTTACGCTGAACAGAGAATGTAGAGATTGGCCGCATGGGGCGACAGATGCTGAGACACGACAACTGACTGAAGAAAGCTCACGGCACGGAGATGTGGTTGTATACACGGAGGGTTCTGTTAAACGAGGGGGAAAATCTGGATGGGGCTTCTCAGCAAGAGTGAGTGGCAGATTGGTGCAGGAACAGCAGAGAGCATACGATATGACAACATCTAGCATGAGAATGGAGATAGAGGCCAGGCTATCAAATGGGTCACAACAACTCGACAAGCACATGTGATCTTTGTCACAGACTCTCAGAGCACTCTGAGGAAGATTGAGAGTGGGAACCTTAGAGCTGAATGGACAGAGCTCCTGAAGAGGACACCACTGAAAAAGATCACATGGATCTTCACCCCGGGCCATGCTGGAGGCAAGGGCAATGAGCGGGCTGATGAGCTCGCTGGAAAAGCAAGACCTGAAGGAAAGCTGTGCCCTGACAAACCAGAAATTATACGCTCAGTCAGAGAAAAACGAGAAAAAGAACAAGAAGAGTCGGAATACCATCATCTTGAGCGACTTCGTGAGCTTGGAATTGGATGGGGCGCCTGCAGAAGTTCAAGACTTAGTGGGAGGAGCAGAAGGCTAGGGAATCAACCATTGCTTGGAACCGTCAGCATTTACACACTTCAAGATGTGCTTCTTCAGGGGACGGAGCGCTTATGGGGATGCCCCTTGTGCAGTGATGTCGGTCCTTCACATAATGCCAACAATGCCAACAATTGTTTAGATCATGCTAGTCCTACATTCCTCTGCTCTTTCGATTCACGAGGTGGGCACCCTCTGTCCCGCTCCCTAGTGGAGTCATCTTTACCGTGTCACCGAATGTTCCGAAAGTTTGCACGAAGTCTCATACTATGGTGGTGACTTTGTCAGTATTAGTACTTGTACCTAAACTACTGGGCCAAGACGAGTAGGTAGAGGGGAACAGATAGAGATACAAATTTTGCTGGTATGGGGGTATCACTATTATTGGTATGTTATAAGCATTATTATCATTATTATTATCATCATCATCATCATCTTTAAAAGGGATGTTTTCTTATATCTCCTCCGTCAAAAGTAGAATACTTACGAAACAGCGAAGTCGTTAGTGAAAAACCGTTGATACTGCGATTTGGACTTTGATTTATGAGAAAACAGCCAGCATACAAACGGACATGTTAAATTAAGGGGAACCTCAGCCTCCAACTAACAATCCTTTCTTTTACACTGAGCGGTTTGAACCTACCCTTAATGAAAAGCCGCCAAAGACGGTTAATTACATAATATTTCTTTTTCTGTAAGGGCCTTTAACATCAAGCTCTCTCTGGCCAAACTGAAGGCAAACGAGGCGAGGGTAGGCACAGAGTAACCTACTGGGAGAGGGTAAGCGGTGGGTGCTCCTCAACTTTTGGCTAAAATAATTCATTGGTAATATACTACAGGTTTTTGTAATGTAAAAGAGAGCGTTTTGTGGCACCAACAACGCAGTTAGGTCATAATGTAAGTGTCGGAGAACAGAGGTATTAGAAGACAGTGACAAACACAAAAAGAAGGAGGAGCTATAAGGTCGATATAATGCTGGAAAGGAAAGAATGAGCAAACCACACCAGACCACCTGTCAACAGGGCCGTCGAGAGCCTTATCGGGCCCTGGGGCAGCGATCACCTTCGGGCCCCTCCTCCC